AAAAGCAAATGGTACCCGAAAAGCAAGGTCAAAGTTAATGTGCTTAAGTGATAAAATGAAATTTTAGAGGTGTTGAAAAGCTGCATGTCTTTAGTGGAAGTTGGATGGCATTATGAAGAAAATGAATTGAGCATCCACAGTACAATGATGAACTCTGTGCATCCTAAGCACACACAGTTTTTCCTCAGTGGCGGTCTCCTTAGAACCACAGACCCATGGATACTAAGGGGGTCTTGCCTTATTGCCTTCCAGTGATCCATGACTTCACAAAACTGGTAACTTTAGACATCAGATTAAGTCCTATGAAATTTAATTAATCAGGGTTTGCAAATATGACTATATATAATATTCACATTTCCTCTCATATAACTTAAATGTTCTACATTACGTTCATAAAAATTACCTCACCACTCTCCAACTTATATTACAGTCATAGGACTAAACACTTTATGCTAGCCTTTTAAAAAGTACCTCAATTCTTTTAATACCTAAAAGACCATTAAAATAACATACCTGTAAATGAAGACGACTGAGAATGTATTGAGCCCTTGTTAAGCATAGTCATTATCTGACCAACAAATTCCTTAGGAATAAAATTGGCATAAGGTAGTATCTCAGTACTGATAAGCTGAACTACCTAAAACAAAATGGGGCAAGTTCAAAACATTGTTTTCTTCAAAGAGATTGAATGACTCAAATCATAATTTCTAGAGCAAAATTTAAATCTCATTTTAAAAGAAAATCAGTTAAGAAACCTCCTTAACAGAAGTAATTGACGCATTTTACTGTTCATATACTGGATGACTACTAATCTGTTCTCATCTTATTACAAAATAGTAATACTCTAAAGTATTTGTTTTCTATGCTACCATTTTGACATATGTTGATCCTCAGCATATCTATAAATAGATATAGAGAAAAACAGCATATGAAACTTACCTGTTTTAGAATAAAATGTCCAAAAAATAAGATTCAAAATACTTTCTATAACCAGAAATTATGAGTTGTAAGAACAATTAGTTATATTCTTTTTTGTCAAAAAAGCTTATTTCTAACATTTATATAAGTTTTAAAACTATAGTGTCACAAAAGGCAGTGTTTATATCTGTGACAATGCCTATACTTTTAAAAGCACACTTTAAAAAATTTCTTGATTTACTTAAACATTCCCCTATCCTACTTAAAGACAACAGACTTCCAATCACCTCCACAATCAAATCTATAGCTAAAAACCACTTTAATTCCATTTAAAATACTCAAAATCGGTTATTTCTCTCTTTTTTTTCTTTTTTAGCGGTACTGAGGCTTGGACTCAGGGCCTTCACACTGAGCCACTCCATCAGCCCTATTTTTTTTTGTGAAGGGGTTTTCGAGATAGGGTCTCGTGAACTTTCTGCCTGGGTTGGCTTCAAACCACGATCCTCATGATCTTTCCCTCTGAGTAACTAGAATTACAGGTGTGAGTCACCGGTGCCTAGCTTCTCTTTCTTTCTTTCTTTTTTTAATGGCAGTACCAGGGTTTGAACTCAGGGACTCATGCTTGCTAAGCAGGTGGTCTACCACTTGAGCTATGCTCCCAAGTCGGAAAAATGCTATTTGCTTTTAGAAATTTTGAAGCTGTATGTACGGATGGTTAAAATGAACAAATCATATAGCAACTTACTAATTAGTTTGAACTGTATTTTGCCAAATTACAGATCAAACTCTCAAATACATGCTTACTAACTGATACATTTATTTTAGTGAATCAGCTCTTTAAACTTACAAAACTGGTAGCATCACACCCATAATCCCAGCACTTGGGAGGCTATGGCAGGAGGAGCTCCAGTTCTAGACCAGCCTGAGTTACATAGTAAGACTTTGCCTCAAAAAAACCAAACAAAATAAATAAACTCATTAAATGAACCCAACTAAGTATCTAGAAAACATGTACATAAATCTAAGGAAGTCATTCTTAAAATGTCACTGCTTTAAAATCTTTAATCTGTGACAGTGCTTTTAGGTTCAATCTTTTTTTTTTTTGGTATGTGGAACTAAATCCAAGGCCTCATGCTTGTTAGGTAAGCACTCTACTACTTTAGCTATACCCCCAGTCCTTACATTCAATCTTAACTCATTACCTTACTCTTTTAGCAGTTTTGTAGTTTCAACATTTCTACTACTTGATTTTCATAAATCATTTCAGGAAAATGTTTTTTCTTTCTCATTTTTTGGGGACTGGAGATTGAACTCAGAACCTTGGGATTGCTAGACAAGTGCTATACCACTTGACCACACCCCTAGCCCTTTTTGTTTTAGTTTGTTTTAGGGTATGGTCTCCAGCTTTTTTACTGGGGCCAGCCTCAGACCCCAACTCCTGAGTAACTGGGATTACACTTGTTTGTTCAGACCCTCTCAATAACTTTTTTGCCTGGGGCTGGCCTCAGACCGTGACCCTCCTTTCTCCAATTCCCACATAACTGGATTAAAGGTGCACATCACCATGCCTGGTCCAGAAAAATGTTTTAAATAGCTTCCTTACCTCAACATCAATACATTCATTTCTTTGAAACTCTTGAATAGAGAGATTATCTGGAGGTACGCTAAAAAAAAAACAAAGCACTTGAGTTTTAAAGGTAAAATATTCTCTGGAAATACAAACAGCAAATAAACAGCATCCAAATGATAAAAATTATGTTTTCCCATCTAAGTTGGGACATTATAATTTACTTAAAAGAGCACTATTTTTAATTGAAATGTTAGTATAAACAACTTAACTAATTACAAACATGAAATTCCAAGTATAAAAACACTTGGTCCAATTCTGAAGTAAAAAATCTGTACAACTAAACTTCTTGCAGAACTATGAATGAAAAAACAATGAAAGGTAAAGCTATTATATCACCTGTAACTACAGCAAAATTTACCATTGTGATGACACCCGAATTCATTTATGTTGGCAGTGACTCAAAGAACCTTAGTCAAGATGCTGAATTGTTCAAAGACAACCCTTATATCTTTAATTTGCAATATATATAATGTATTACAGTTCTTTAATACAATAAAGATAGAGAACATCTGCAAAGAAGAGGCTTAGCAGAAAAACTACAGAAAAAATTTCAAAGATGTGTCCCAACCTAAATCAATGAAGGAGTTTCACAACCACTGTTATCAAAGTTGCTTCAAAAATCCTATCTGAATCTCAAGAGATAAAAGTTGTATTTAATTTTATGTTACAGTCAAGGAATGTAAATCCATTTACATGGATGGATACCATAAAAAAACCTTCTTAGGAATTCACTAGTAATATTAATGCTATTTGTATCATATATTAGAAATAAGGAACTGGGTCCTCCCTTGAAGAAGGAAGAGAATAGCATATAAAATTAAAAACTGAAGGTTAATTCCTGCTATCCCCATGATGTATAAAATCAAGGCCGGGGTGTGGCTCAAGTGGCAAAGCACCTGCCTACCAAGTGCAAGGCTCTGAGCTCAAACCCCAGTACTGCCAAAAAAGGCCAGCTAGCCAGCTCACTCGCTTGCTCACTCTCTCTCTCTCTCTCTCTCTCTCTCTCTCTCTCCTTTTCCTCTTATCTTACCAAGATATTACTATGTTCAGACTCAGTACCCTTATCTAGAACCCAAAGTAATGGCTATTTATTTTAATTTATAGTCAGTTTTCTAACCAGAACACATAAAAATTTGAGATTTTAAAAATGACGATTAAAACAATTCACCTACAAACTGAAAGGGGAGACAGTCAATACTGTATACAAATGGGACATGTAAGACAATTACATTCTCTAAGACTGAAGGGTTTAGTACCAGTTTAAAATTATTACTTTCATAAATCTTTATTTAAAATATAAAGATATTTCAAACTGATAAAGCATTATTTCTACTTTTTGTACAGTACAGTAAGTTTTTTGAAATGACATAAGATTCACGTCATAAAATTCATCCTTTTAAAGTAGTACTTTAAGTATATTCATAAAGTCATACAACCATCACCATTTTAATTCCTGAGGATTTTCATCACCCACAAAACAAATTCTGTACCCATTAGCAGTGACTTACCATTTCCCCTCTTCTGGGCTGGGATGTAGCTTGGTGGTACAGTGCTTGCCTAGCATGCATGAGGCCCTGGGTTCGATCCCAGCACAAAAAAGAAAAGACAAAAAAAAAAACCCAAAAAAACCTCTCCCCATTTCCCCTCTTCCGCTATCCCTGCAAACTAATAATCTACTTTCAGTTTCTATGGATTGCCTATTCTGGATAATAAATGTGATAATACAATATGTTGCCTTTTATGTCTTGTTTCTTCCACTCGCTATGTTTAAAGGTTCATTTGTGTTATGCATACACCAGTACTTCTTTCTTTTTTATGGCCAGAAAATATTCCACTGTATAGATATCCCATATTTTAATTTATACATTTTGGGTAGTTTTTATTTTTTGGCTATTATGAGTTATGTTGCTTTGAATGCTAGGATATAAGTTTTTGTGTGAACATAGGCCTTCAATCCTTTTGGGTAGTACTTAATTTTTTTTTTTTTTCTTTAAGACAGAGTCTTGCTATATTGCTAAGTGGTCTGGGCAAGAAGATCACTTCTGAGCTCAAGTGATCTTCCTTATTTGGTCCCCCAAGTATCTGGGACTACAGGCATGCACCACATGCCTGGAATAGTACTTAGTGATTTTTTTTGGCAGTACTGAGATTTGAATTCAGAGTTCTGCACTTGCGAAACAGGCACTTTACCAGTTGAGCCACTCCTCCAGCCCTTTCTGCTCTGGTTATTTTGGAGGTAGGGTCTCATTTTGCCCAGGTCAGCCTAGACCACAATCCTCCTATTTTAGGCTTTCCACTGTTACTGAGATTTTGCCTTGGCTGGCCTCAAACCACAATCCTATGTCAGTCTTCTAAGTAGCTAGGATTACAGAAGAGCCACTGGCACCCAGCTCTTGCTGATCTTTAAATTTAATTTAATTTTTTGTTTGTTTGTTTTTTTGCAGTACTAGGGCTTGAATTCAGGGCCTCACACTTGCTAGGCTTTGATAGGCAGGTAGGTGCTCTATTACTTGAGCTACTCCACCAGCCCATCTTGCTGATTTTTAATATACTATCCACAGACTATAATTTATATGATTTCCATTAGCTAGCCCATTATGCCTTCTATAGGACAAGTACTGTATTTTGGCTATAAAGTTTGGCTAAATTTTTCTTTTCCTTTTTTGGTGGTATTGGGGTTTGTGTTTGCTAAGCAGGTGCTCTAACTCAGCCTAAGGCTGAGTTTCTAATAGACAGACCTCAAGTGTCTATCAGATTATAGTCCTTACATTTTTCAATTTTGTGTGTTACTTTTCTGTATTTAAACTATTTACTTACGACAGCCCTCAATGATGCTCAAACCTTTCTTTTGTTCTAGCTGATTTTGATTTTATTAATACTATCTTTGTTTTTGTATTGCCTTGCCAAAGCAGTTTGCAGACCAAAAAATTGGGAAACATCACAGAGAAAGATATGGTTATCTTTAGACTCTTAAGAGTATGTATGAATTAAGACTAATGGATTTAAGATGTATACCAATATAAAAATACTGTAAAATTGTTTTCCTCTTATAATGCCAAATGGGCCTCAGATGAAAAAATGAAATCTTTATAGTTTCATTAAAAATCACGGTCTCTTAATGATGCAATCAAATACTCTTAATATAAGATTACTGACTACAACCAAAAAAAAAAAAAAAAAAAGATTACAAGAAGCAAAAAACTCCAAGCTCATGCATAAGTACCCAATGGATAAATGCCCAATCCAATTGTGTTTTGTATACAATCTAGCAATCTTACTACTCAATCACCAAACTGATTTTAGAGCAATTGCAGATGTAATGTGCCAAATATTGAATGAGCTGACCTTTTAGTAAAGAGAAAGTCTTCAAGTGTGTTGGCTAGTTCTGGCCACATACTATCAAATTTTCCAGAAGAAGCATGCTGTCGGGCAACAGGTAGCCCAATAGAAAGAACTTTGAGGAGAGAAGATACTGCTAGTTTCCAAGTGCTTTCAGAAGGGCAGGAATACTTCAAGCTGAGAGGCACCCTTAGAGTCTGAAAATAAAGACAGTTTTAGTTAAATATCAATTAAAGCATATACAAACAACTGTACTTAAAAAACAAAATGCTATCTAATGAGAGAAAAAATAACAGCACAGGTATTTTTATTGAAAAAAAAAAGTGTGTTATTTTCTAGGAAGACTAATTCTCAGACATGGTCCTCAAATCCCATTTTCTAGGAAAAAAAAAAGGTATTCATTCATTCACTTATTGGATGCTCGGAGCCAAATCCAGAGTCTTGCACATAGTAAGCACAAGTTCTAACCACTGAGTTACACCTCAAGCTCTGAAGGTACACTTTTTATAAGTTTTTTGGCTACAGGGTCTTGACACATACATAACTAGTCTTGAACTCGTACTCGTGATTCTCTGCTTTAGCCTACTGAGTGCTGGGATTAAAGACACACAGCACCACACCAACTTTTAAATCCTGTCTCCATCATCTAAACAATGATTCTGAACAAATAACTTTTCGTAAATCTCAAGTTTTTTCATCATAAAAATAGGGATATTACCTGATATAGAATAAGAACAGGAAATTCAATTGGCAACTTTCATCAACTTGTTATTATGAATTTAGGAAATCCTGCCCATAATTTTCCTAGCACAAAGTAATTTTGTTGAAGTGGATCTCCCATTCAAAATACTGCTTATGTTTTTCAAATAATGGTTAGGGAAGAATAAACACAGGCTAAAGTATCATTACTTGGAAGTTTTAGGTTTTATCTCTAAAGTTCTTTGAATTTTATATTCTACTCTAATATTTTAATGAATTTAATGCCTTTCCAAATATTTCAATAAAATTGATTATTCAAGAATATAATTTATTTTATCTTTGACTATTGAAGGTACAAAGTAGGGCATGTGAGCTATGAATAGTAAGATGTTGAAACTTACCTTTTTAATTGTTCAACTTCTGAGAAAAAAGGGGTTTTATTTGCTAAAAGAATTAATCTGGTGGGTCAGAATAGTCTTCTCTAGTTCTACTTCTATTTGTTAATTTTAAGAGTAGACATGTGAACTATCTATCATGGTCAAACTATAATGGCAAGCTACCCCAGAGCATCAATAGTTTTGGCACACTTTTAGTAAATTTGCTTAATGATAAAAATTCTGCTTAAGTGATAGATTTTCACATTTTAAGAACATAAAACACAATATTATCATCCACACAATATGCTACTTCCTTCCCTGGTCACAACCACTGGTTCAAGAGTGAGTATGGGTCCAAAGCTGGTCCCCCTTTTTGATTAATCTTAGGAATTTAAGAGTAACATGATAAAAGCATGTGTGCACGTACATGCTCATATACTCACACTGTGCAAAATCCTTTACTGGCCTATAGCTATGAAGTAGTTAGGCTATAGTCAACCCCTAGAAAGCAGAACAGAAGCTGGGTATGGCAGTGCATATCTGTATTACCAGCACTAAGGAAGCTGAGGCTGGGCATCATGAGTTCAAAGGCCAGTCTGGGATACATAGCAAGGAGGAGAGGAAGATAAGGGCAGAAGAGGAGGAAGAGAGGGACAGAAGGATAGACAGAGAGGAGAGCAAACAGAACAGAAAGAATTTTGTTTTTGATGATAATGCTGATGCTGAATCACTGGATCAACCAATCCTCAAGCCGTCTCTCTTTCAATTTTCCAATTAGGCACATTAAAATTACCTTTTATTGTTAAAGCTAGTCAGAGCTGAATGTAGGTCATTTGCATCCAAAGGAATAATAAATGATACTGGGCCATTCTGAGCTAACATTTTAATAACTCAAGTTTAGGTAAAAGAGTAGGATGGTTTACTTCTGCAATGTTTACTGAAAGTAAGGGAATATTAAGCATAGCCTACCTGTTTAATTTATACGTTTTATTTATTAAAACATTTAAGTAACTAAAACTAGGATAAGTATGCTACAGGTTGTCTTAGTAATTGCATGCTGAACTGGCAAACTTACTTCCTGAAGTCACAGGCTGGTAATTTTTGAGAAAGGAAGAGCTTCTCCCAATTAACCAAAATACAATGCAGTAAACGGCATCAACAAAGTAGGAGTGCAGAAAGGGATCATTTAATTATTTTAAAAATAGAAAGTAATTCACATCACTCCTCAGAGGTCAACCTTTCAGGGGTTAAAAAATAAAGTCTATCTGGAGGAGCGGCTCAAGCAGCAGAGCACCTGCCTACCATGTATGAGGCCCTGAGTTCAAATCCCAGTGCTACCAATAAATAAATAAATAGTCTGATATGATGGTTTATAAGAACTGCAGCTACCTTTTCAGACTTATTTCAGGCCCCACAACCTTCCTAGATGGAATTTCTCAACATTTCCTAAAAATATACCATGATCTTTTTACCCTGCTTGATTCACCTATACTGATTTCCTCCCCATTCTTACCTAGCAAACTCTTACTCCACCAAGTATCACTCCCACTAAAGTGGTAGAATGCACTGTGAATTTTTTCCTGAATGCTAATCTACCTTAGGTTTGAAGAATATTTTCTTAAGAAACAGGATTCTCCTATGTGGCAAAATTTTAAATCTACTGCACATTTTTTTCTAAATATTTTTTAGCAAAAAGACATTTTCATAGCTTAGAAAAATTACTTGCTAAATACAGCTCATGAATGTTGAAGAAAAGTCGCTATAATAACATACATTTTTCATTTGTTCCAATAAATGCTGTTAGATAGAGTAACTTCAATAATTCTGTTATCAGATAAAAGTATAGAAGTGAAAAAGAGATACCTTAATGATATTCTGAAGAACTTTCTCATTCACCACTGCTTTATGACAGGCTGTTTTTTGGTATAAATCCACAACTACTTCTAAAGACTTTTCAGCAAACGGTACATAATTCAAGGCTACCCATTCCGCCTAGAAAGTAATATTTTCACATGGAGTTAAAAAAAATGGGATTAAAGGAAATCATATTGTTTTTGAAGAGAAAGCTTCATTGTCATATAGTTCAGGCCTTGGTTTTAGGTCAGATTATATTACATGCAAAGTTTCTCAAAGAGCTATGTATTTCATGAAAAAATAATTTTCAGTCAGGCAAACATTAAAACTATTGGAAAAAGCACATAGAGCATTCTATCAAGACTGGGAAAGATGATCTTTATTTGTTGCCAATAGGTTAGGACAATTTTAGGAAATTTAACTCACCGGTGCAAATAGTTGGATCTATTGTGATTCCATTGTGTTGCAAGACAAATAGAATGAGAAAAGTTAATACATATTAAAACTACTTTTTGGACTATATAAAATTATAATTTTATTTTGAGTGAACAAAATAAGCATGTACATGTATTCAGAAATTTACTTTAACCCTAAGCCAAAATGAAGTTAAAATTTGCCAACTATGGCTATAAAAATATTTTATGTAAAATCCAACTAAATTTCACACCAGTATTGCAATATGCATAGATTTCTTCATTTTGCATTCTAGATTTTGATAAGATTAAGTTTAATGATTTAAAAGCAACTTTGTATTGAGATGAGGCAGCCAACAAAGAGGTATGATGAAATTTTAGTTTTCAAGAAACATGTATGGTCAACTAATATGAAAGGCCAAACCTTCTAAAGGACCACTTGGATTTTTTTTTTAATTAATTGACAGTACTGGGATTTGAACTCAGGGCCTCACACTTGCTAGGCAAGTGGCCTACCACTGAAGCCACACCCCCAGCCCCTGAAGGACCACTTGGGAGAGGAAAGTCGTAAGCAAGAAGAAAAGGAACACAGAAATGGTTTCCCAAATGTTTCTGTTCAGCTTAAACTGCTAACAGACATATGTAAGTTTATTTGTGAATGAAAATTTTCTTTTTCTGAGATAATCAAAGTCCATCTTTAGTGGAACTGATTATATTTTTAAGCCATGAAATCTTACAGAATAAATAACTTATAGTAAATTACCTGGTTATATTTTGCATTGGCAATGTGCTTTGTTTCCAGCTGTCCATACTGTGGAGGTTTACAGGAAAATTCTACAAATGCCAGCAACTGGTCAAATATAGCTGGATACATTATCTGCATGTTTTCTGGTCCTACACAGATGGCCTATGAAGTAAAATATGAAGATTAGAATGCACAATCTGAACTCTAGTGAAATTCTTTACTGCATATATATTTGTTTAATCAAAGAATCTTAAACACTGTACTATTTTATATAAGTATTATGGCATAGGACACTTAAACTATTTAAGAAACTATTATTAAAAAGAAGCCTAAAAGTGTTAATTAGGTTAAAAGATGCTTTTTAATAAAGTGTGATTTATTCCCTAACAAATGGGAAAGGGGCAAGCATTTAAAGAGAAATCTCAGGCAGTCCTGAGGATCTCTGATTTGATATTAGACCACTAAGAATATTTCACTCATCAAGATGACACTGGCTTCTACTTGAGTGGCATCACTTCACTGAAATGACACTAATTTCTGTACCACACTTGGGCCACTGGCATAAACAAATATTCATGTACATTACAGTTGGGGCAATGAGTCGCCATGAGAATTTGTTTCTAAAAGAAGCTACATATTAATTTTAAGCAGGCTATATATATTTAATATTTAATGCCTCTGAATATATTGATTTTCATTTAAAATAAAAAGTATCTAACTATAAAATAAAATAATGAACAGTAATCACTTTCTCTAGATTACTTAAAATAACTTGATAGACAATAAAATGCATATCCTGACACTGCAGATTTTAATTACTTCAAATGTGTTGAAAGTACTTAAAATAAATCTTGTATTTTTTCTAGCCACAAATGTGTGTTTTCTTCTCTCACCCCTTATTGTAGTGTTTATTTTTCTCAGTGGTAAAAATATTTAATGGCATTATTTATGGAATATTCAAGTACTTAAAATACACTTGTGCTTTACAAAATAAAAAACACGATCACTTTACACTTAAGAGGGTATTCTTCAGTGCACTCCAAAATATTAAACCAAACTTTAAGGCATTTATGTGTGTGTGTGTTTGTGTGTGTAGTACTGGGGATCAAACTCAAGATTTCACACATGCTACAAAAATATCTAAATTTTTTCAGGAATTCCTTTGAAAATGTGTATAAAATTTGTATTTTTATGCGATTTAAAAAAATTTATCAGATAATAAGTAATTTATTTTTCCCAGAGGTTCAGCCATTTATCTGTGAGTGAAGTTTTAGGTAAAACTGCATTGAGATATAAAATATATAAGTAAGTATCTTAGCATAGAAGAGTGATTTTGATTATACATGTTGGTATTCATAATGTATTACTGATTTATAGAGCAATTCTAGGACTTAAAAAATTTTTTTTTCTTAGAACATCTAAGAAATAGTTTTTACTGGCTTTCTTTAGTATTCTAAAGTTTTATATCAGAAAATCTATACAATGAACCTGGTAATAGATTGAAGTCCAAAAGCTTATAATCAATAAGCAGTATAGACATTTCCCATTGGTCCTTGAAAACCATGCATGTAAAAACAAGAAAGAATATTTAACTTCTGACATGGTTCAAGATTTTGCTTACTAACTCATTTAACAACAAAGCATTCAGTACCTATTATGTACTAAGGCCTTCACTGGAAAATTTAGTGATGATATTAGCAAGAGCTAATATTTATTGAATGTTTAACCTGTGCCAGACACAAAAAGCCTTACAAACATCCAACTTAAAAGGCAAAAACAGTGTAGATTTGTTTTTACTTTACAGATGAGGAAGCTAGAGACTGGCCCCACATTGTCTTAAAGACATGGCAACTCCAAGGACACTGTTCACCCACAATGTGCCCATGTCTCCTGAAGTACAATTCCAGCATCCCTGATCCCAAAGGCAGATATGGTACCTAGCTATCTGGCTTTAGGAAGCTTAGCAACAAGTAAGACAGATGCAGTCTCTTGACCTCAGAACTTACACTACAGTTTATATACAGAAGATAATCAAATTCTCAGTGCAACCCCCCCATGCTAAAATAATTTGGCAAAAATAAATCAGTTAGCATACATAAGTTGTGTTTGTTGGAAACTAGTCTTTTGAGAACCAAGACTGAGACCAAGAAGCTCTAAACAACATAAGGACACTGAGGAAGAATACAGAAACCCTTCTTTAGAAAGGAAACATGAAATCCAAATTGATTTTTTCCTTTAGGAAGAAAATGATCTTTTAATCTAGAAAATGTTTATTAGTTTAAAGATAAAGTCCCAAAGCAAGTAAATTTTGCTTGTGCAAAAATTTTCTAACACCTGTGGAGAAAATACAAAATACTCTTACGATACTATGATATTTTACTTTTTCTCTATTAGGAGATATTAAAAACCTCACATTCCAGGGTTATGAAACATCAATTAGATAATCATACAAGGAATAGAACAATGGCTAGAGTAAAAATCAATAATCATGCAAAAATGATGTCACATTGATAGAAATGAACAATAAAGCTTTCTAAGTATCAGACTGAAGGTATGTTTTGTTTTCAAAGCTATTAAAAGTTCAGAACAAACTCCTAGTAGCTGGAATGAATAATTCTACTTGTTCTCTTATTGCTAAAACAGAGTATTAACTTTATACTTTTTTCCTTTAAAAAAAACCTAGGGAATGTGTTGTTCTTTATTCTTTATTATCCTTTACACACATATAAAAACCTGAATTTGTATTTGCTCAGTGATTTTCTTTTTTTTTTGCTCTCTGAGGTTTTATTTATTTATTTATTTTTTCTTTTATTATTCATATGTGCATACAAGGCTTGGATCATTTCTCCCCCCTGCCCCCACCCCCTCCCTTACCACCCACTCTGCCCCCTCAATACCCAGCAGAAACTATTTTGCCCTTATTTCTAATTTTGTTGTAGAGAGGGTATAAGCTATAATAGGAAGGAACAAGGGTTTTTGCTGGTTGAGATAAGGATAGCTATACAGGGCATTGACTCACATTGATTTCCTGTGCGTGTGTGTTACCTTCTAGGTTAATTCTTTTTGATCTAATCTTTTCTCTAGTTCCTGGCCCCCTTTTCCTATTGGCCTCAGTTGCTTTTAAGGTATCTGCTTTAGTTTCTCTGTGTTAAGGGCAACAAATGCTAGCTAGTTTTTTAGGTGTCTTACCTATCCTCACCCCTCCCTTGTGTGCTCTCGCTTTTATCATGTGCTTGCTCAGTGATTTTCAATCTTTATTTTTTGTGGTACTAAGATTTGAACTCAGGGCCTTGTGCTTGCTAGGCACGCACTCTACCACTTGAGCCGCACTTCCAGCCCCCACTTTTTTATGCTTTCATTATTTTTCAAATAGGGTCTTGCATTTATGCCTGGATTTGCCAGAACCATGATCCTCTCATTTACACTTCCCAAGTAGATGGGGTGGTAGCATGCACCACCACACTCAGCTTCAATTGGTTGAGATGGTATCTTATGAGCGTTTTACCCCAGCTGGCCTCAAACTGTGATCCTCCCAATCCCTGCCTCCCAAGTAGCTACCTAGGATTACAGGTATGAGCCACAGCAGCTGCCTTGGTCATCTTTTAAAATACAGGCTTCCAATAATTTTAGAACTAAATTTAAGTACAGATGAAAAATGTCAACATATAATCACAGTATTTATTAATTTTCTAATTATAGAGTACCTTACTAAAGTTATTATCCCAAGTATTACATCCTATCATGAACAGCTGTACAGAGAAAATTAAAATGCTGGTGAAATGGAACAAGAGAATGTGGATGCCTTCTTAAGGACTCAAAACATACCTGAATAACCTTTTTGAAAATATGAGAAAATCAACTAGGTCTTGACAATTCTGAATTTATTCCAAAGTATACACATACAACAATCTTGATTAATTCAGAAAACCATATTCATTATTGCTTAAACAGCTATTAAAATTACATTACCTTTTGAAGAACATCTAAAGCTGTAAGTACAGCTTCCTGTAAACTTGTCAGAACTGCTTCAGTATAAGATGGAAGAATGAAAGGGGATGCATCAGAACTTATTGGGACTGAAACAGCACTGTGCAATATGACTCCTAACTTCTGCAAGTCATCCATATTGAAACCAGTTTTTATGTGTTGGTAGAGAGCTGGAAATATCTGAATTAAAGCTGTAAGAAAAGGCTGGCTGGGAATAAAAGTTAGCTTATCAAAAGTAACAGGAGGCTTAGTGCTTTCAGATCCAATTCTATACCAAGTATTCCAGGCAGCCCACCAGAGATTCAAATCTTCAAGCTCATCAGTTACTAATGGTGGCTCAGAGATATTATATCTTCCAAGTCTTTCTCCAATGGAATCTGTTCTTACAAATGGCCTGTTCAGGCCAGGGCCTGATATGGACCCTATAAGAACAGGCACAGGTACATTGACTACAGGAGGTGTCTCAGGCTTATCTGAGTCTCTGACAGGGGACACAATCTGCAAGATTTCCTGGAAGCTTTTCAAAGCAGCCAGAGATACTTCATTATTTTTGCTGAGTGCTGCTGATTGTATATGGTCAAGAAGAACATCCCAAGCTTTTGAAAAATCTCCTATAGTAAGGGGAGAAAAAAAATTAGCATAAAAGTAAGCAATTTTTCTCTTAATATTAAATACTTTGAAGCACATTTGCTTTTCTGCTTAAATTCCCACAGAACTAGAAAAGTATATACTTAGGTACTAAGATATGAGCAATGTGAACTAAAATCATCACCTACCAGAAATACAAAAGAGAAAAAAATTTTTTTTTTTTTTTCAGATTTAAGAAGGGTACCAGGAAGAGGAAAACGTGTATATAATAATGTTTTATCTTAAAAACAAAACTTTATAAGTGAATATATAAATGCTTATTATATTTCTAAGGAAAACATAATAAAAACCCATTAGGGCAAAAAAAAAGCTTTTCAACAATATCTTCGGTTTATCCATCTACCTTCTTGATGATTAAATAAGATGTTCTCTTTATACCTCTAGCCCAAGATGTTCTCATTCTTACTCACTGGAAAAGTTGTAAGCTCTAACAATGTGATACCTGGTTTTAATAAGCCTAAATATTTAAAAGAAACTTTATGCCATACTCCATAAAATTCTAACTTCACACTTTGGTTTCATATCAAAATCATTTTATAGTTACAGATTTTCTTAAACATTTTTAGAATGACAGTTAATGAATCACCAGGACAAAATGTACCATAAAGAATAAACTATCCTTTTATGATGACTTTGTTCTTCTCATGTGAAACTGAGTTTATACTATCAGCAGAGGATGGGCTGAATGGTTAGTTGCTGTTTCCATTGACCAGTTTAA